CACACACACACACACAGAGGAAAGTGACAAAGCAAGCCACCAGGTCTGGGACTTGAACCATGGTTGGTCATGTGGGAGTGTCCAGTGCGTTCACCACCATGCCACCTGCTGGTCCTCAGATTTTTTTTTTAAGAGAGATTTTTGCTATAGGGCATGTGCTCTTGCTAAACAGAGACAGAGACACAGAAGGAAATACCCAGCAGGGGAGATGGTCTCGCTCCCATCCCTTCTCCTCCAGTTCCTCTAGTGATTTTGGACAGGAATGCACACTCTTGGCTTGAGTTTCAAGCCTCAGGATCTGGGACTCAAGCTGTGGTGGACCATGTCGGAGTCCAGCAATGTAACCATAATGCCATCTGCTGGTCCAAGGAGGGATTTTTTAATTAATTTTTTTTAATTAAATTACTAGGAAAAAAAAAAAAAAAACCACTGGACTTTATTATTCCCATCACAGAGAGCAGTTCTTCCCAAGACAGGGGAGGGAGTTCTGATGGTGGCAAGGAGGCCCCTACTTGCTAACAATGAATGATTTTGGAGGACCTCCATGTTAGAGTTCTGGCTCAGGAACATCTTGGAGTTGCAGAACTTCTTATTGATTGGCTTAGACTTCTTGCTCTTGCTGTTTTGGGGACACTATGCTTTGTCCATCATGCTGCAGTGCCTGGGTAAGGCCTTCACTCTGTATGGGAGTTTCCGGTTATTGGGGCAGTTGATGGGCACTTAGGGTTGTTTTTGTTATTGCTAGAGGGCATCTGAGCTTGGGGTACGGGGGTGTGGTAGCGCCATAATCCCTTCTCAATTTCTCCATGCTGTTGGGATTTTGGACACGTGTGCATGCACCTGGCTTGTCTTTCAAGCTGCCAGGTCTTAGACTAGAACCATGCAGTTGGCCTTAACCGCCTTGCCAATATAATTTTTTCTTCATGATAGGGTAAGTGCACACGCATCAGAAAGAGAGGAGAGAAACTCAGAAGAGCGTGGCCATGCTGCAGTCCTCCTCCTCCAGTCCTTCAACCCTTTGGTTCCTAGGCAGGTGTGCTGGACTGATCAGTCCAGGGATTTAAACCATGGTTGCCATGTGGGATCTAGTTTCTCTTTTTAGTTTTAGAGGTTTTTGCCATAGTGCACATGTACTTGCCAGAGAGAGACAGACAGAGACAGTGAGAAGGAAAGTGAGAAGTCACCCCCAAAACTCCTGAGGAGGGATGGCCATGCTGCAATCCCTTCTCCATTCTCATCCTGGCATGACGCACACACTTCTGGCGTGATTTTCAAGCCACAGGGTCGTGAGGGGGCTTGAACCACGGTCAGCCATGTGGGAGTCCAGTGACGTAACCACTATGCCATCTGCTGGCCCCAAGATCTGGCTTCTCTTGAGTAGGGCCTTCGTTGACTGTGCCACAGAAATAATTTAAAATAATTTAAAACCATTTAAAATAATTTAAAATGTTTGACTAAACCATGAGAATAATGTTTTGTGACACGTGGCATTCATACCTCAGTGTTTATAAATCAATTTTATTGGAACATAGTCACCTTCATTTCCACATTGTCTATAGCTGCCTTCTTGCGATAGCGGAAGAATTGAGTAATTGTAGAGAGATTGCGAAGAACCGGCCTTATCCTGGACTCAGGGGAAAAGGTCTCCTGGAGGAACTACAAAGCCTAAACTATTACCTGGCTCTTTATGGACAAGGTCGTTGCCTCCTGGGCTAGTGTGATACTGATGTAGTGGGTTTAACTGGAGGGAGGAACTTGAGCCTCTGTAGCAGAAACTTAGAAAAACATGAAATCCAAGATGAAAATGTCAGTCCTACAGCTTATCTGAAGTCTTCTAGGTGGGGGTACCCCAGGGCTCAGATAGTGACACTGTTCTCTATGCGACTGGGCTTCAGGTATTCATAGGGCAGGTCAAGCTGCTCATTCCGTGCTGTTAGCTCCCTTTCCAAGTTTTCCAAATCTGTTTGGAATTGGTTTAGCACAGCATTGGCCTTGAGACTAGAGAAATATTTTTCTTTGTGATGTCCCAAAGGTACCTGAGACAGAACAAAGGGTCAGTCAGTTTCTAGTCGGAAAAGACTAGAAAAAACGGAAGCACCTAGATCCCAGCCCCTCACTCTTGTTTTCCTTTTGTCATTTCCCTCGTAGAGTCCCCTCTCACCATGTCTGGCTGGCGCCGACCCAGATGCCACGTGATGGCCATTTGAAGACAGCCCTTCTGGACATCAGGTAGTGACCTCATCACTGTGGCCACTGTCACATCTTCTTTGGTGGTGGGTGGGGGCATCCGCATTGTGCACGGGGCATTAGGGACCCAGGCATACCAGTCCAGCTGGGGAGAGAAACTGCAACCCTAGGACCCTGGTGCTTAGAGTTGAACCCCCATCTCTCCCTGGGGTTTCCAAAGGTCTAGACATTTGACTTCAAGGACCTGGGCTTTCAGCTATCCTTACCTGGCCCTGGTTGATGGCTCCATGCTGGGCAGTGCACGTGAAGACACACATGGTAAGGAAATGGCAGAGTTGAGCCCGGGACTGGAGAGAGATAGGGAAACCTGGGTAGGAAAGGAACAGGATTTCAGGGCCATAGCATTTAAGAGAGAAGAGCAGGCTGACGTCTTAGCATGACCATATTTTCCTTTTTTTCTTTATTCATGATTGAGCACGTGTGCACACATGTGAGCAACAGAGTGATGGATGGGCACCGTCCACAGGGTTTTGTCCCACTGCCGTCCCTTTCTTTCAGCCCATTGGATCTTGGGCACTTGTATGTATCCCTCGTGTGCTTCAGGCTGACTGGGCTGGGAATATGGTAGCCGTGTGGGATCTGGCTTCTCTTGAGCAGGGCATTACCACTGCACCATAGAGCTGGCCTTGGCTGTTCATATTTTATTTTATTGTTTTGCTTTTTTAAAAGAAAATTATTTCACTTTATTTATCATCATTATTATTATTTTTTAAATTTGATACAGATACTCACCAGAGAGAGACAAAAAGAGAGAGGGAAAGTGAGAAAACAAGCCACCAAGCCCAGGATTTGAACTGTGACCAGCCATGTGGGAGTCCAGTGCCCGACCCTCCATGCCACCTGCTGGCCCCCTATTTTATCATTTTTCTTTTTTATCACTAGAAGGTGTGTGCTCATCAGGGAGAGTGAGTGAGCGAGTGAGGGAGAGAATGAATGCCTCAGTGGGGCATGGTACACCACAGCCCCTTTTTCTCCATTTCACTGTCCCATCAGGACTTGGGGCATGCATGCACACGCACCTGGTGTGCTTTTCAAGCCACCAGCTCTGGGATTTGAATCACCCTTTACTATGTGTGATCCAGGTTCCTTCACTGCAGAGCTGTGGATCCTGGTCCATACATTAGAGTTGACGGGTGTTTGCTCATTTGTTGATTTATTTAGATATACTGGTATCAGACATTATTTTAATCCTGGCTCAATAACTTCTAGCTTGGTTACCTTAGACCAGTTTTTTTCTGGGGGGAGGGAGGATTTTTGCTATAGGGCTCGTGCGTTCGCCAGAAAGACAGAGACAGAGAAAAAGCGAGAAATCACCTCCCTTGAGCACACATGCACACGCGCCCTGCGTGAGTTTAAACCACCAGGTCCAGGGTTCAAACCGCAGTTGACCACATGAGAATCCAGTGACATAGCCATTGCGCCAATTGCTGGTCCCAAGAGCAATTATTTAACTTCTCTGAACCTACATTTTTTTATCTGTAAAATATGTATGATACCTGTTTTATAAATGTTTTATAAATGAGATAATTATAAAAATCAACTTGTATGTAATAAGTGGCAGTAAATAATAGTTATTGTTATCATGGAAGGTTGGGAAGTGGTCAAGAATTCAGGGATGCAGGCCAGCTCAGTAGCTCAGTAGTTAAGGGAGCTGAGTCCCAGATAGCTGACCACAGTTTAAATTCTGGCCCTGGTGGCTTGAAAAATGCTCTGGGTGTGTGTGCATTTGTTCCAAAAATCTCAACAGGATGAAGAGGGATTGCAGTATGACCATGCACCATTGGAGAGGAGCTTCCTCCCAGTTGCTCCACTGTCTCTTCATCTCTTTCTGGTGAGTGTATGCGCCCTCTAGCAATTAAAAAAAAAAAGAATTCAGAGTTGCTTCTTATTTCTAGACAGGGAATTGGGGAATTGCAAGTCTCTGAGTTACAAAGTCGAGATTAAGACAAGTATTGGATTTCCAATATTACATCTTAGAGAGGCTTCCCAGAAGGGATAGCCCAGGCCACTCGTTTTACAGTGAGTGTGAGAGCTTAGATACCTAATAATTCTATCAATTAGAACAAATACAGATACTTCCATTTTATAGATAAGAAAATCAAGAGACCAGCAGTTGGCATAATGGCTATGTTGCTGGATTCCCATGTAGTCGACCGCAGTTCAAATCCCGGACACAGTGGCTTAAATTCACACCAGGCGCATGTGCGTGCGTGCTCAAGAGAGGAGAATGGAGGAGAAGGGATTGTGGCGTGGCCATCCCCCCTGGGGGGTGATTTCTCACTTTCTGTCTCTCTGTCTCTCTCTGTCTGTCTGGCGAGCCCACGCACCCTATAGCAAAAACCTCTTGAGAAAATCAAAGACCAGAGAGCTCAAACTGTTTGTTAAGATCCATGCCGTTGGAAAAAGGTAGAGTCTGACCTTGAACTCAGGTTCCTGATCACTAATTCCATACTGTTATTAATTCTAGCACACTTCTTCTGAAAAGTCTGCTGTGGGGGGCAGCAGATGGTGTAGTGGTTATGTCACTAGACTCCCATATGGCCGACTGCGGTTTGAGTCTTGGACTTGGTGGCTTGAAAATTACACCAGTCACATGTGTGTGCATGCCCGAGACCCCAAGAGGAGAATAGAGAAAAAGGGATTGTGGAGTGGCCATCCCACCGCGGGTGACTTCTCACTTTCCTGCTCACTGTCTCCATCTCTCTCTGTCTCTCCTGCAAGTGCATGTGCCCTAAGGCAAAAACCTCTAAAAAAAATTCTGCTGTGAAAATTGAGGCAAAGGTGAGCTACGAGAACCGAGGAAGATAAGGAAGTACGCAGAATGAGAAATAATTTGTGGAGGTTAAAGTTAACATGTTATAAACTGATGGCTATCTCCCACCAAAACCTTTTCTTTGGAGAAATTTTTGTTATATTTTGTTTTGCGCTTGCTGGAGAGACAGAGATGTAGAAAGCGAAAAATCACCCCCTCCCACCCAGGGGGGATGGGCATACCGCAGTCCCTCCTCTATCTCCTCTTGGGATCTTGGGCACGCACACATACACACCCAGTGTCAGTTGAAGCCGCCGGGTCCCAGACTCAAACGGTGGTTGACTATGCGGGAGTCCAGTGACAGCCGTTATGCCATCTGCTGGCCCCCACCAAAACCTCATTAAGCTGAACTCGATCCCTGGTGTGATGGTAGTTGGAGGTGGAACCTCTGGGAGATAATTATGTCCACAGGGTGGAGCTCTCATAAATGGGATTAATACCCTTAGGAAAAGATGCCAGAGAGCTAGCTTGCCATCTTTCTGCCAGTGAGGCTATAAGAAGTCTACTGCCGGACCAGCAGGTGGTGTGGTGGTTAAGGCACTGGAATTCCCGCATGGCCGACTGCAGTTTGAGTCCCGGGCCTGGGATGCTTGCGCTCGCTCTCTCTCTCTCTCTCTCTCTCTCTGGCAAAACTCAAGTGAAAAAAAAAACATAAATAAATAATTTTTTTAAAAAAGTAGTTCATTGCCTGCAACCTGGAAGAGAGCCTTCACCAGAACATGACCATGTTGGCATCCTGATCTGACTTCTAGCCTCCAGGACTGTGAGGAATTTTGGTGGTTTTATAAGCCACCCAATCTATGGTACTTGGTCATAGTAGCCCCAGCTGACAAAGACAAAGTGAATATCTCTTTTTAATTTCCAAATGTAGATTCTGTTTGGGGAGAAGATGGCTAGGGAGAGGAAGCAAGGTCGTTTGGGACACGGGAAGTTTGAGGAACATCACTGAGAGGTGTTGGAGAAAGTGTGGTCCTGGAATGGGGGTGCTGCACCCACAGATTCCCCAGGGAGAGCACCCTCCAGGATGCAGGTGTTTGCTGCATCCCCACGGCCTGACTGTTCTGGCGCCCCAGTGAGTGTTGCCGTGTTCCCTCAGGCAGAGGATGGCATTCAGGCGTGGTCTGGAGTGTGAGGGGCAGGGGCTGAAGGACAACTCAGAGGAGCCCAGGTCGGTCCCTGTGTGTCAGAGAGAGGAAGATGGACCGAGGAGAGCTTGAGAAAGGCTATTTTAATAACATGCTGGCATGTGTGCATGTGTGCCCTAAATCCCAAAAATAGGGAGACAGAGGAGAAGGGACTGTGTGACCATTCCCCATAGGGGGTGCCTTCTCCCTTTCCCTTCTCTCCCTCTGCCTCTCTCTGGCGAGCACATGCACTCTCTAGCCAATTAGTAATAAAGTAGGAACGACTATTAATTCCCTAGAGATTAAAATGCAGGCTGAAGCATCTCTGGCTTCAGACCCCCAGGTGCTCTTTCTTTAAATAAACTTTCCTTTTTCTCTTGGTAAAAGATAAATAAATAAATAAAAACAAATAAATAACATGCAGGGTGTGTGTGGTTGGGGGAGACCAAAGGCAGTGGCTAGTCCCTGGCTGGGGAACGGGGGAGGTGGGGAAAGGGGAATTGGGACCAGCAGTTAGCGTGATGGCTATGTCGCTGGACTCCCACGTAGTCGACCGTGGTTTGAGTGCCAGACCCGGTGGCTTAAACTCACACTGGGTGCGTGTGCGTGCGTGCCCAAGATCCCGAGAGGAGAATGGAGGAGAAGGGATTGTGGCATGGCCATCCCCACTGGGGAGTGATTTCTCGCTTTCTATCTCTCTGTCTCTCTCTGTCTGGCGAGCACACACGCCCTACCTATAGCAAAAACCTCTCCAAAAAAAAAAAACCTCTCCAAAAAAAAAAGGAACCAGAATTGCAGGGTCAGGGCACCTGGTTCAGGTTTGTACCAAACACGCGCAGTACTGAGTTTGCCTCCGGAGTGACCTTGCCCGGTGTCAAGTGTGTGGGATGCCTGGACCCCATGTGTGACACCAGCAGTCAGGAGAAGGGAGGGAATCCCAGGGTGGCTCACCACGGGCTTGGGTTGGAAAGATCTATTTAAATCCTCAGGTAGAGCAGACAGACATCAAGAGATCACAGAACAGAAGGGGCTGGGCAGAAGCCCTTGTTGGCTGTGGTTCTCGCCTGGTGGGACCCCCACGCTACGGCAGGTCAGGGGCCTCTGTGAGTGGGGATGGGGTGGAAGTAGGGGTTGATGACCAGGGTCTCTGTGGGTGACTGTCCATAGAGACGTGGAATTGTCCTGAGTCTCAGGAGATGTGAATGTGACTCGGCTCCTCTCATGGAGGGAAGGGTGTGTGATGAGAGGCCAGGGTCCTGTCCCTAGTGGGCAGGGCTGGGAACAGGCTGTAGTATGGCCTCCGAGGAGCTCCTCTTTCTGGCTGGGTCTTACCTCGGTCCTGGGCCTGGCACAGCCCCACCTCTGTGATCTCCCGACACCAGGCCTGCAGCTCAGGGTCCCCCCTCACGACGTCATCTGTTTGGTAGAAGAGGTGGATGATCCCCTCCACATACCTGCTCAGAGGAGAAGAGAGTTGAGCTCTCTGAGGGTAGGCGGCTCCTGACTCGGACCTCTACACCTTTCTGTGGCATCTGTCCAGCTGCTTCCCTTGTATCTGAGATCTTCCAAGACTTGCCTTTTGAGCCGTCTCCTAGACCTTAAACACGTTAGCGTGTGTGTAATGGAAGGAAGCGTGCACCGTAAGTTCGCAGAATGCCCTGCACGTGGCTGTTAAGCACTCTCCCTAACAAGTCCTCCAGATCCCTCAGACTCCTCACCACGGCTTTCTTCCCCTGTGATCACCACGCCACCCCAGTCTCTTCATTTTCAGAACCTGCCCTCCGTGTCCTCATTCTTCCCCTCCTCTCCCCAGGACTGAGCCCCTGCTCCTCCTGTTAGACATTCTCACTTTGACTTTGCTTGTGCCCCATCCTGACCAGGCTAGAGCCCCGCCCTCCCTCTCCCCACGGCCCTCCCTTCCTCAGCGCCCTCTCACCCACCGGGCGGTGATCTCCCAGAGCCGTAAAGCATCGTGGGCATAGAGAGCACTCGGGATTCCCAGCAGGCCCCGGTCAGCCAGGTCGTGAGGAGGACAGAGGGAGCGGTAGGTCAGCTGGGCCACAGCGCGACGGAGCAGGTCCACATGGCCCCCTCCGCCTGTGCCCACTGCCTGGACAAGAGAGGGACAGGTCTTGAGGGACGGAAGTGTGGCTGGAGAACTCATGGCATAATTGAGAGGGGTTCAGAGATGGGTTTTCAGAATTAAAGTCACGGCTCCAAAGGGGACGGGGCTCATGGGTTTACAGGTCAGGACATTCTCACAGATTGTTCTGAGACCCTGAAGGTGGCAGATCCTAGAGAGGTGGGTGATGAGGCAACTCACACCCATCCCCTCCTTACCTTATCAAATATTCCTCCATCTGAGATGAGCCGGGTTCGGGCCCGGATGTTGATTTCCATGGTGTAGCGGATATGGGGGATCAGGAGCTGGGTGGGACGAGGAGATTGGAGGGAAGGGTTAATGGAAGCCTTTCCTTGGATTGGCCTTTCCTTGGAGGGCCTGGTGCCCAGCATGCTGGCCTTTTTACCTTTTGATATTCTCGTCCCTGCTGCTGGCTTCATGGACTTGTCTCCTCTCTCTCTGGTCACTCACTCTCATGTTCTCCCACCTTGTAAGTTTGGCCCTGCAGCCAGACTGACCAGGGTTTCGACCCGCAGTTTACACCTCAGTTTGCTGTCTGGCTGTTATCCTCTAATCGACAGTTCCCTTGTCTGTCAACAGAGGGCACTAATAGGCTCTTTTATCTCATGGGCTATGGTGAGCTTGTGTGAGTAATGAATGAAGGGTGTTTAATACACATACAAGCTCTCAAATGGTAGCTCTTGTTATTTTCATCTTGAGTGTAGGTGTATTTTTAAGAATCAGCTCCTGCCGCCTTCTAAAAGTTTATTCATTCCATGAGTGAGAGAAAGGAAGGGGGAGAGAGAGAGAGGAGGGAAATGGAGCATTCCCAACAGGGTCTTCACACCAGGATCCACCCTCAGCCTCAGTCACTTTGGATCACAGGCACATGTGCACCGTACTCAGGAATGTCCCCAAATGCAAACCAGTCATTTTCCTGTTGGGTCAGACTCGACACTGGCTAGTTCAAAGAATCAACTCTTTAGATGCTTTTTTTCCTTTTCTCTCTCTCTCTTTCTCTTTTTTTTTTTTTTGCCTGAGCATATATGCACTTGCCCGAGAGTGACAGAGTCAGGAATAGGGAAAGTGAGAAAGCACCCGCTCCGGGCATGGTCATGCCATGATCCCTTCACCTCTAGTACTCTCTCCTGTCAGGATTTTGGGCACGTATGCACATGGTGCACAGTGTCTTTCAGGCCACTAGGTCTGGGATCTGAACTGCAGGGTCAGGGGCCGGCAGGTGGTGTGGTGGTTAAGGCACTGGACTCTCACATGACCTGGCGGACCCTCCTTCGGACCTGGCAGCTTGCTTTCTCGCTTTCCTTCTCTCTGTGTCTCTTCTGATCAAATTAAAAAATAAATAATTAAGTCATTTTTAAAAGAACAAACAAAACTGCAAGGGTAATTCTGTGGAATCCAGTCCCTTTGACTACTAGGCCATGGGTGGCCCTGATTTTTTTCATACATCCTCTATCGTTCATGTCCTCATCGCTTAAATGGCCTGTCTGATCAAAGCTGCACCTCTACCCTCTGGTTGTTTCACTCTTGGGTTTCCCTGAGGGCCATGAGTGAAGAGGGTGCTTTCCTTCAGAATTATGGAAGCTGGGGCCGGCAAGTGGCATGGTGGTTAAAGGCACTGGAGTCCCACATGGTCGACCGCAGTTCAAGTCCTGAACCTGGTGGCTTGCTTTCTCACTTTCTCTCTCTCTCTTTCTTTCCCCCTCTCTGTCTGAACAAACTGGAAAGTAATAATAATAATAAAGTTAAATAAAATAATTCTTAAAAGAATTAGGGGAGCTGTATTGAGCTGCCTTTGTAAGGACCCGGAAGGGTTGCTGTAAAATCTTTCCCCCTGCCCATATAGGCACCATGAGGCCCCCTCTCTCCTGCTTTTCCTTAGCTATTAAAAAACACCACCTGATCCTTACTTTCATTTCTTCTTATGTGAGAATATGTGCCTTCTTTTCACCCAGTTAATTTGGAGATTTCAAGAAATTTGAGTATTTATCTGACTTGACACTGGGCACAGGGAATAACGCAAGTGATACCTTTGGTGTTAAGATAGCAAAGTAGCTCACAGTAGTCAGAAATGTTTCAGGAAGTGCATGGAAGATGCTGCATATCATAGAGTCACGGGGACCAAAGTCCACATGAAGAGAAGAGATGCCTGAGGACAAACAATTCCCTAATACTACTACTACTACTAATTGCAAGAACTGGGACCAGCAGTTGGTGTAATGGCTATGTCGCTGGACTTCCATGTAGTCGACCACAGTTCAAATCCCAGACTTGGTGGCTTAAACTCACACCAGGCTTGTGGGCATGCATACGTGCGTTCCCAAGATCCCGAGAGGAGAATGGAGAAGAAGGGGTTGCGGCGTGGCCATCCCCCTGGGGGGTGATTTCTTGCTTTCTATCTCTCTGTCTTTCTGGTCAGCGCACATGCCCTATAACAAAAATCTCTCCAAATAAATAAATACATAAATAATTGCGAGAACTAATTATTTTTGTTGCGTTACTGTGGCATTTAACATATGTCATGCGATTGTGTTACATCATTTTATCCTTTAACAGCTCATGACAGAGATTCTATCTACATTTAAAGATGACTGAGGAGGGACATATGCAGGTGGCATAATGGTTACATTGCTGGACTCCTATGTAGTCTGTTGTGGATTGATTCCCAGACCTGGTGGCTTAGAACTCACAGCGGGCACGTGTGCATGTGTGCCCAAAATCCGAAGAGGAGACTGGAGGAGGAAGGTATTGCGGTGTGGCCATCCCCCCTGGGGGGTGATTTCTCTCTTTCTTTCTCTCCGTCTGTCTCTCTCCAGCAAGGGCACATGCCCTATAGCAAAAAACAACAACAAACAAGTGCCTGAGGCTGGTCGTGGATGCTGGTGTGAATAACCTGTGGGGAGTGCTGCATTTCCCTCCGCTAAGTAACTGAGGCCAGGACTCAGGATTCAGACCCAGCAAGCCAGAGCCTGCACAGGTATGGCAAGACTTTTGCAGGAGTAGCCCTCCTCGGCGTCCAGTGACAACTCAGCTGGTTGCTGTCGGAGGAAGTTGTCAGAGTGAGGGGAGACAGGAAGGGGGCCAGCCTAGTGTGAAAAGAGGCTTCCCCTCTTCAAGGTGAGCAGGTGGTGGTGATGCAGGAGGCATCATGAGATCTATAAAATCTAAGATTCTGGGGCCAGCAGGTGGTGTGGTGGTTAAGGTGCTAGGCTCCCACATGGCCAACTGCAGTTCAAGCCCCAGACCCTGTGGCTTGAAAATCACACTGGGCGTGTGTGCCCAAAATCCTGAGAGGAGAAGAGATTGTGGCATGGCCATCTCCCTGAGGAGTGATTTTTCACTTTCTGTCTCTCTCTATCAGGTGCACATGCTCTATAGCAAAAACCTTTAAAAAAATAAATAAAATACAAGAGTTTGTTAATCAGACTGGTCTTCATCTTGTCTGTGTTACCAAAGAACCCCAAAGAGGTCACACCTATGTTAGCTAGGCGTAGGAAGCCTGAGAGAGCCCCCAGTTGAAATGCATTCAGTTGTTCTTAGCAAGTACTTATTTGCATATCTTCCCAACACTTCACACTCCATGTGCCTATAATCAGACACCTCATTTTTGCCTGCAAATTCGCTTTCTGTCTTAACTGTTTCTGATGGTTACTTTAGTTTGTAAGTTTGTATCATTTTTTGTGCCCCTCTCTGCCATGTTCCCCATGGTAAAGTGTCACTAAGATTTGGAGAGTAGTTTTTTTAAATTATTTTATTTAACTTTATTTATTCATTTATTTATTTCAATTTGACCAGAGAGGGATAAAGAAAGAGAGAAAGAGAGAGAGAGAGAGAGAGGGAGGGAGAGAGGAAGTAAGGTGTCAGGTCTGGGACTTGAACTGTAGTCTGGTCATGTGGGAGTCCAGCATCCTTAACCACCAAGCCACCTGCCGGCCCCTGGAGAGTTTTTTTTAAGCAAGCACAAGTCTTACTTTGCTGTCATGGATGCTGAACTTGTTGTTTTATAAAATTACCTTTTTTTCTAAGGCTTATTTTATTTAACTTTATTTATTTTAAATTTGACCAGAGAGGGACAGAGTGAGAGAGATGGAAAGTAAGAAAGCAAGCTGCCAGGTCCAGGACTTGAACTGCAGTCTGGTCATGTGGGAGTCCAGCACCCTCAACCACCATGCCACCTGCCGACCTTAAAAGTATTATTATTATTTCTTTTTGCCAGAGGGTATGTGTGGTCATGAGAGAGAGATGGACAGACAGACAAACAGGGATAAGGGGAGGAGAAAGCACCCCGAATGGGACATAGTCATGTTGTAATTTCTTCTCCATTTCTTCATCCTGTCTGGATTTTGAGCACACATGCATGTGTGCCCAGCATATTTTTGAAGATGCTTGAGCTGGGATTTGAACCATAGTTGGCTATGTAGAATCTGTTCCCTTTAACCAGTAGGCCATGGGGCTGGCCCACAGTTACAGTATGTCTAGGTCAGCACTATCTACAAACGCTGTGGGTTTCTGGACGTCGCAGAAGCCTAGACCTCTCACCTTTCCAGTCTCGTACCCAGGCACAGTACTGTTTGTTTTTTTTCTTTTCTCTTTTTTTTTTAATTATTATTTTTTGGGGGTGTGTGGCTTTTTGCTATAGGGCGCATGTACTCATCAGAAAGACAGAGAGACAGAAAGCAAGAAATCACCCCCAGGGGGATGGCCACGTTCTCCTCCATTCTTCTCTTGGGATTTTGAGCGCACGCGCGCACACACACACACACACACGCCCAGTGTGAGTTTAAGCCACCTGGTCTGGGACTCGAACAGTGTTCGACTACATAGGAGTCCAGCGACGTAGCCATTATGCCAACTGTTGGTCCCAACTATTTTTTCTCTTTACCAAGTCTTTGACCACCCCCCCCATCATTCCTGGCACCACCATGCTAATGCATTTGGGTATCCACCTCCCCCTTGGGCAGCTGTTAGTAGCCTGCTCAGCTGTTCTCCTTGCCTTTTGATCTGTTCCTACTTAGCTGACTCCACAGGTGGGGTGGAATAGTCTCTATTAATATTATGCTATTTACAAGCAATCGCTTGCGATTTCAAACTGTATTCCAGGTTCTTATGGGTACTACTATTTTTCTGGCTAAATATTAAATCTCCCAAGGCAGAAATAAAGCTTTTGTTAACAATATTCTAGCTATACTGCCAGCCCATTGCTAGGCTTCTAGATTTCTGAGAGTTTCAGAGGGATCCCTTGTATTGTGTGCTAAAGAAACATTAAGTGACTGCACTTCATTAAAATATAAATCTCAGGACCAGCAGATGGTGTGGCAGTTCAGGCACTAGACTCCCACATGGCTGACTGCAGTTCAAGTCCTGGACCTGGAGGGTTTTCTTACTTTCCCTCTCTCTGTGTCTCTCTGGTGAGCACATGTGCCCTATAGCAAATTAAAATAAATAAATAAATCTTAAAAAAAAAAATCTCAGGGCCAGCAGGTGGTGTGACTCTGAAGGTGCTGAACTCCCACATGGCCAACTGCAGTTCGAGTCCCAGGGCCAGTGGCTTTTAAAACACTTGAAAATCATGCTAGGTATGTGTGTGCATATCCAAATCCTAGGAGGAGAATGGAGTAGGGATTGTGGCATGGCCATCCTTCCTGGGGGGTTATTTTTCACTTTCCCTCTCACTGTTTCTATCTACCTGGTGTGTGCATATGCCCTATGGCAAAAATAAATAAATAAATAAATAAATAAATAAATAAATAAATCTCTCAAGATTTTGATACCGTTTTCTTCTGTTCTCCCCCTTTCGTTCACAAATTTGTTTAAAGACTTTTCGATGCTATAGTATCATTCGGGCCTGAGAGACCAGGCTCATTTGGGCCTGAGAATGATGGGAAGTAAAGAGTCGAGTCTGTACCTTGAAGACAGGGTGCAGTCCTGGGAGGCACCTCATGGTGGCGACAGCGATGACCTCAGCCACCAGATGAGTGTTCATCAAATGATACTGGAGCTGGTGCAGTTGGAAATCTGAATTTCGGACCCAGATCTTGGCCAGGAGCCAGGCAAATGGAGGATCCGAGGGCAGGAACAGTGGTGGTATGGGTGAGCTGGGATTGGGAGGCTGAATCTGGAGAAAGAAGAATTCATCTATTGACCTCCTTTTCTATGTATGACATTATGGTAAGCATTCCTGGGGGAAACAGTTGACTGAGTGGGATTATTGCCTTCTAAGAGGTCTGGTATAGTAAGAGGAATCAGAACTCTTCCACCCGGCCTCTCACTAGCCATAGTGTTGGCATGATTCAGTTGAGTACAGGAGAGACCAGAAATGGAGCGTCCATGAGGAGATTCTACCAGTGGTTTGGGAGAAATGTGATGGGGGTCAGAGCTTGGGTGGTGGCGTGTGGAGCAGAAGCCAAATATGTCAGATTATTGACAGTAGTCATCAGTTGACTATAGGGAATAGTGGGAGAAGATCTTCAAGACAGTGGGTGTTGGGACCAGAAGTTAGCATAATGGCTATGTCGCTGGACTCCCATGTAGTTGACCGCGGTTCGAGTCCTGGACCCGGTGGCTTAAACTCACGCTGGGTGTGTGCGAGCATGCCCAAGATCCCGAGAGGAGAATGGAGGGGAGGGGATTGCGGCATGGCCATCCCCCCTGGGGGGTGATTTCTCGCTTTCTGTCTCTCTGTTTCTCTCTGTCTTTGTGGTGAGCGCATGCGCCTTATAGCAAAAACCTCTTAAAAAAGAAAAATCCCAGAAAAAAAAAAAAAGACAATGGGTGTTCAGAGTCAGAGGCCACTGAGGAGTTACATAGTGATCCTCAAAGTGTGGCCCCAGCTAGAGTATCAGCATTACTTTGGTGCCTGTAAGAAATGCAAATTCCCAGTCTACCCAGACATACTGAGTCAAGAAAGTCTGGTGGTGGGACTCAGCCACCAGTGTTTTAAGAAGCACTTCAGGTGATTCAGGTGATTCAGATGCACACTAACGTTGGAGACCCACTGGCTACAGGATAAGAACTACAAGAGGCCATTGTTACTCGAACAAGTACTTCTAGTTCAGTGAGTCAAGGGAGGCATGAGGACATGACCATGACATGAGGACAGGTCTCACTGAGTATGGATAGAATTTGGGAGCCAGGAGTTAGGAGCTGGGTCTCTGGGAGCAGAGGTCGAGGTGAACTGAGGACAGCGTTGGGAGGTGGATTCTCTATCTGCCTCACCTGGATGACCATGGGTAGCAGCTTCCCGTTGGGTTCCATCTTCAGCATGACAAGAGGAGCAGCCAGGTACTGCTGCTCTCCTTGGATCACATTGGCTGGAATTCCATCGAGCAGGATGAAGTCAGCTTCAAACAGAGAACCATTCTGGGGAAAGTAGGAATGAATGCAGATGCCAACTCCACAGGCCCAGGGCAAAGGGCAAGGCATTTAGTCTATGCTACATCAGTAATATGGCAGAGTCCGAGTGGCAGAGATGTGGGAAGCATCCAGAGAGTTGATCCCAGATCCTTTAGTTGTTTTTTTTTTCTTTTTTTTTTTTGCCAGAGGGCATGTGTGCTAGCCAGAGAGACAGACAGACACAGAGAAAGCATCCCCCTAGAGGAATGGTCATGCCACAATCCCATCTCCATTTCTTTTTTCCTTTGGGATTTTGGGCATGCCTGGCGTGTTTTTCAAGCCGCTGGTCCGGGACTTAAACCACACAGTCAGCTATATGGATCTAGTTGCCTTAACCACTACACCGCTGGCTGGCCTAAAGTGCTCTCATTTTACAGTGAGAAATAAAGTCTGGTGAGGGGAGGCTTTCCCAGGGACATACATCTTGTTTGTGGCAGAGGTCATTCTAGGCATAGGCTTGTCAATCCATTGCTTGTCACCGGTATGCTAAGCTCTTCCCTTGTGGGGATGTCCAGGTCTTCCCTCTAAACATCTAATGGCCTACTGTCTTGTCTGGCTGCCACACCTTTGTAGTATTTTCCCCTATATACTTTATGATCTCTAAATTTTTCCATTAGAGGACTCTGCATAAAGAGGAGCCCTTGTACTCATCTTTGGTCCCTTCCCTTCTCCACTTCTTTTTACCACACTGCCAAGGAGGGGAAAAAATATGAGAGGAAGTACCTGGAGTTCTTTCTCCAACTGGGCCTGAAGCTCCTCCATCCCCGAGGGCAACACTAGCCTGGAGGGCAGAGAGGTGGAGCGTCTCAACGTCATGGGGTTGGTGCCATTGAGGAATTGGTAGCCAAAAAACTCATCATCCTGCCAGCACTGGTGAACCTTCTCTGTGTGGTGTGGGGTACAAAGAATATTTACCACAGCCTGGACATCTGTCTCCATGCTGAACCACGGGGATTCAGGCTCATGATCCACCCAGTACCCAGCTCCTATGCTTTTATTCTTGAGACTTCTTGGAGACAGTCAGACATGATAAAGGCTCTTCCTGCAAGGAGTTATGGGAGACTCCGGAGTGTTACAAATGGGTCATCAGAAGGGACCACCAAGGGGTTATAGGATCTAGGGGAACCACTGACCAGCCAGGGTGCTCTGGCTCCAGAAGATCTGATCGAAGTCTTCCAGGCGATCCCAGGAGCTCAGAAGGGTGTAAACTCGTTTGAGGACGATTTCCAAAGCCCTAGGACAGGTATTGAGACATGAACCTACCAGGTGAGCCCTCAGCCCAGTATTGAGACATGAACCTACCAGGTGAGCCCTCGGCCCCTCACTGTAAGCTCTAGGCTCCAGCCTTTTCCTCACCCTGCCTTCAGGGTCCATTCGAAGTCCAGCCTCTTCTCCTCATGGAATCTCATATTTGGAGGTAGGTCATCCTCACAGTTAGCAGCTATTGTCAAGGGTAACCCTTCCTTCCAGGTGGCCCAGCTAGAAGTTGGGGACGAAATTTAAAAGAAGGTGTTGAGATCAGTGCTGGGGACAGGGTCAGCTAAGGGGTGGGACAACGGGGAGGCCCAAGGGCGAGTAGTCACCAGTAGATTTGCTGTCTTTCCTTCAGTTCCTTCTCCCGGTGCTTCTGGAACACATCCAAGGGATTGCTTCCTACTAGGCAGGCTGAGGAGACATTAAGACCATTGGCTAATCAACTTTTTTTTTTTTTTTTTTTTGAGAGGTTTTTGCTATAGGGCATGTGCGCTCGTCAGACAGACAGAGACAGAGAGACAGAAAGCGAGAAATCACCCCCCAGGGGGGATGGTCACGCCGCAATCCCTTGTCCTCCATTCTCCTCTCGGGCTCTTGGGCATGCACGCACACGCGCCCTGCGTGAGTTTTAAGCCACTGGGTCAGGGATGCGAACCGCGGTCGACCACATGGGAGTCCAGCGACATAGCCATTACGCTAACTGCAGGTCCCCTCAACTTTGACCTGTGCTCTGTCCTGCTTGTCCTCAGCCCCCTTGTTGTCATAGTTGATGTGTTCTGTCGTGCTCTACTGCCTTTATCTCACTTGATTGTCTGGGAGCCCACCCAGACACGTTTACCCATCTGCCCACCTTGCATTCCTGATTTCACTTATTTCAGACTCATCTCTTGCCTGGAGACAAAAATCTCCCATTTGTCACCTGTTCTTTTTTTTTTTTTTTGAGAGTTTTTTTTTTCCTTCTTTCATTTTTGCCATAGAGTGTGTGTGCTTGCCAGGAGGACAGAGACCGAGAGACAGAGAGCAAGAAATTACCCCTCAGGGGACATGGCCACAGCACAGTCCCTTCTCCTCTCAGGATTTTGGTCATGCACGCACACATGTTCAGCATGGATTTCAAGCTGCTTGGTCCGGGACTTGAACCACCGTTGGCCATGTTGGAGTCTAGCGCCTTAACCACTATGCCACCTGCTCTTGGTCTTTAACTCATCCTTCCTTACTTGACCCTATTTCATCAATATCTATGGCTGGAGAAGCACCTTAATTAAGGTGATACAATCTTAGTCACCTTCATGCCCACACCTATCTTATGCTACACATTGCTTTGATTAATTTCACATGTCTTAAACTCACTTGCCACACCTTCACCTGTCCTCAGAGTCTGTGCGCTTGCTTTGCCCGACTTCACCTTTCTTGGACTTGCAATCACGGTCTGTATTCACTGACTTGTTCCTGCTCTTCTCTGTTAGGGTTCATGTTTCCAGTCTTTGCTCTTCTTTGTCTCTGTGTTCATCTCTGTCTGGTTTCCCACAGGAACATTAAGTATGCGCTTGTTCATCCCCACCCGCCTCAGTGCTTTCCTCCTTCAGAATCATTTCCCTTGTTATTCCAACCAAACCAGCTCGCCAACCTCGCATCACCGGTTTCGGTTTCTCTTCACTGACTCCTGCTCAGGTCTTCCACCATCTCTTAACCCACTGGCCCTCTCACCCTTCCCAGCCCTAACTTGTGGGTTTTTTTTTTTTTTTTTTTGAGAGGTTTTCGCTATAGGGCGCATGTGCTCGCCAGACCGACAGAGAGAGACACAGAGACAGAAAAGCGAGAAATCACCCCCCAGAGGGGATGGTCACGC